AGCCCCAAACATCTCTGAATGCTTACAAAGTCTTAGTAAGGATCTCCCCCTGTTCTCAGAGCCCAAGCATCCAAACTTCCTTATGGGGCCACTGGACGACTAGACTGTTTAGTCTATCTCTTTGCTGGGGAGTATCCCTCTCCAGAGGGGCGAGAATGATTGATAAGAAGTCTCACTTCCATTCCCTGTTGCAAGGGTCCTAAGACTCAATCTTTACCCCCATGTCGGTTGCTAAAACCCACAAACAGCACATGTCCCAGGAGAGGCAGGACATCAGTTCAAAGGCCAGGAGAGCTGAGTTTAACAGGGCTTTCACGTTTGACCCCAGCTATCTCTCTTACCTCCTGCAAGTTCAGTTATACATTTGTAAAATGTTTTATTTCATTTTCTGAGAGTCTTACAGCAACAAAGTTTTGGGGTTATCTCTTCTATCATATTATCAAAACCCAAACTGAAACTGTATCATTACAAATAACTACTCCTTGTGCAAAGTCACCAAAGGGAACAACCATTTGTTATTTTTGACCAACCAGCTCTTGTTCCCTCAATATCCATTTCCTTGCAACCTTCACTTGCAGTCCGTATTTGACTAGCTGACTCCACCAAAGGGATGTGGATCAGGCCTAAGTCAATCAGCAGACTCCCCTTTGTGGACCAGGGATAGACGCTGAGTTTAATCAGAACAAAGCCCAGAACCAGTTTGAACAGAGAACAAGCAGCCCCATCGGGCTTTCCTGTAGGGTGAAGGTAAAGAGGCTCTTAGTGAGGGACTACTGCGAGGGGCCTGAACTTCAGAGACCACAATGAGAAGGAAAGGGACCTGTGACCAACACTAAGTTAACACTGAGGAAGTGAAGCTGAGACCAGGAGGTAGAGAAACTACATCCTGGTCCCAACTGCTGGAGCCACTAGATCAAGTTTTGACCAAATCCAGTCCTACCACTTGATTGTTTACTTCCAGGTATTTTCTTTCTTGTCTAAGCCACTTAGAGCTACATTTGTCAATAAAAAAAAGTGACATGAAAATATACCAAGTATTTATATTTTCATATAAAATGAAAACAAAATTGTACTTGCTTACCTGGATAACCAATTCCTTTGGCATTTGCATAGGGAACCCCAGAAGATCCAGGACTATAAACCGGATTCATGATTGCAAAAACTAAAAGAAAAAAAAGGCGATTTAGCCAAGCACTTTTGCTCTCTGATTGTTCTCCAGTACCAGTCCCAAAAAAGCAGGCAGCTAGAGTCCTTTCTCTGTGCTGCTTATAAAACAATACATTTCATGCTGTCCACAACCAGCAGAGAACAAAAAAGGGACACTCAATGTCCTAATGGGTGCCAAACCAGGGCATGATCAACTTTTCTTCACACTTCTCCTCAGTCCATCAGAAGCTAAGGAATAAAAATTGTTAGCTCTATGTTCACTAAAAACAAGGGGAAAGGCCAGGTACGGTGGCGCACAACTGTAATCCCAGCACTCTGGGAGGCCGAGGTGGGCAGATTACCTGAGGTCAGGAGTGTGAAACCAGCCTGGCCAACATGGTGAAACTCCATCTCTACTGAAAATACAAAAATTGGCCGGGCATGGTAGCTCATGCCTGTAATCTCAGCACTTTGGGAGGCCGAGGTGGAGGGATCACTAGGTCAGGAGATCAAGACCATCCTGGCCAACATGGTGAAACCCCATCTCTACTAAAAATACAAAAACTAGCTGGTCGTCGTGGCGCGCGCCTGTAATCCAGCTGCTCAGGAGGCTAAGGGAGGAGAATCGCCTGAACCAGGTAGTCGGAGGTTGCAGTGCGCCAAGATCGCACCACTGCACTCCAGCCTGGCTACAGAGCAAGACTCCATCTCAAAAACAAAACAAAACAAAAACAAAACAAAACAAAAATTAGCCAACTGTGGTGACACACACCTGTAACCCCAGCTACTTGGGAGGCCGAGACATAAGAATCACTTGAATCCAGGAGGTAGAAATGGCAGTGAGCCAAGCTCGTGCCACTGCACTCCAAGGTGGGCAACAGAGCGAGACTTTGTCGCAAAAAAAACAAGCGGAAAATTCTACAAGTAACCAAAATGTTCTCCTAACGGAGGATAGTTAACCAAGATATATCCAGGACATGAAGTATCAGGCAGCTGCTTTTCATGAAATGTTTAAAAACAGAATAATACAATGTTAAGTGAAAACAAAGTAGGGTATTACAATGCATCCTGCACTACACAGTATGATCCCAAATAAACACCTATACGTATAAAGATGTGCATCCCTGCACAAACAGGAAAAAAGTCTCAAAGGAAATATATAAAAATATGAACAGTGACTGACTCTAGACAGGAGTGGATTTAGTGTTCCTTCTGCAGTTTCCTGTATTTATTCACTATTATTACTTTTTTTTCCCAGACGGAGTCTCGCTCTGTCGCCAGGCTGGAGGCACAATCTCAGCTCACTGCAACTCTACCTCCCAGGTTTAAGTGATTCTCCTGCCTCAGCCTCCCACGTAGCTGGGACTACAAGCGTGCGCCACCACACCCAGCTAATTTTTGTATTTTTAGTAGAGACGGGGTTTCACCATGTTAGCCAGGACGGTCTCATCTCTTGACCTCATGATCCGTCCACCTCAGCCTCCCAAAGTGCTGGGACTGTATTTCTTCCCCCCGCCCCCTACCCCACCCCAAAACAGGGTCTTGCTCTGTTGCCCAGGTTGGAGTTCAGTGGCACAATCTCAGCTCACTGCAACCTTGACCTCCTGGGTTCAAGTGATTATCCCACCTCAGCCTCCCTAGTAGCTGGGACTACAGGTATGGTGCCACCATACCTGGCTAGGTTTTGTGTGTCTGTGTGTGTGTGTGTGTGTGTTGTTGTTGTTTTTTTTTTTAAATAGAGATGAGGTTTCATCATGTTGCCCAGGCTGGTTTTAAACTCCTGGGCCCAAGAGATCCACCCACCTCAGCTTCCTGAGTAGATGGGACTACAGGTGTGTGCCACCATGCCACACTAGTTTCCTGTATTTCTTTAAAAATTTGTTAAATTTTTTTTCCCAATAAAGACTAATTGGTTACAGCCCAGCAACTCTATTAATCCATTCAATGTTTTATCATCCATAAATATTTCCTTTTCCTGACAAGTTCAATAACTTGTACAGCCACAACCAGGACTCCATCCCTTCCCCAATAGAAGTATTGTTGGGAATTGATTCCCATTCAACTCTCTAGTAAGCTCCTCTGAATCCTAACCAGTGAATTATTTAACTTTATTTATTTTTTAGACGTGGTCTCGCTCTGTCAGTCATAGCTCACTGCAGACTTGATCACCCAAGCTTAAGTGATCTTCCCACCTCAGCCTCCAGAGTAACCATGACTACAGGTGTGCATTGCCACATCTGGCTCATTTTAGTAGAGACAAAGTCTTGCCCCGTCGCCCAGGCTGGTCTTGAGCCCCTGAGTTCCAGTGATCCTCCCGCCTTGGCCTCCTAAAAATGCAGTGTATTAGAGTGTGAGCTTTCACTATTTCTCATCTGGTAAATTACTCACTGATGCATGTGGTTATAAAGATTAAGATGATCTTTAAGATTTAAAACAGCATGTGTGGGGTAGGGGGCTATATGGGAACTCTCTGTACCTTCTGCTCAATTTAGCTGTAAACCTCTGTACCTTCTGCTCAATTTTGCTGTAAACCTAAAACTGCTAGACCTAAAAAAAGTCTGTTTTTAGGCTGAGTCCAATGGCTCATGCCTGTATTCCCAGCACTGTGGGAGGATCACTTGAGGCCAGGAGTTCAAGACCAGCCTGGGCAATATAGCACGCTTCCATCTCTGAAAAATAGGTAATGAGTAACAAAACACAAAATGTGCATTTTAGGTCTGCCTTCCCCACATTCCCATTTAGAATGTAGCCAAAACAAGCAGGGAACATGCACCTGGTTCTGCTTAAAGGCAATTGTCTCCAGCATCAATAACACCACCTGGTACAAAATAGGTGCAACTACCTACCAACTTTCTAAAAAACAAATGCCTTTCAGAACACTCTAGGCGTCAAAATCCATTACAAAGACAAAATACGAAAAGAAACCACTTCAAATTGTCAGCTCATTTGACTCATTTAGAATACTCACAACCAAGCAATCCTGTACTAAGAAGAAAATATTAGGTCACATCCTTAGCCTCTGTAACAGGAAGTTCTGGATTAAATTAGGAATCAACTGGCAACTTTAGTAACTAAAACATTCATTACCTGAACTGTCTAATTTTTTTTAAGCTTCAAAACCAAAGCCAAATGCCAAAACTGTCATGCCATTCACAGCTACAGCTATGTGATAGGTCTTGACCAGCAATGACCAACAAAACTTTGTAAAATGACCACATCCTTCTCTATCTGTGCTGTCCCCTACAGCAGCCGCCTGCCAAGAGTGCTGAGCACCTGAAAAATAAGGCTAGTGTGAGACTGCATCTTTTAGCTTTATTTAACTTCAAGATAAGTAGTCACATGTGGCTAGGGGTTACTATACTGGACAGTGCAGGCCTACAGTTCAGAGTAGGGAGAAAACAAGTATACAAACAAGCAGGTAAGCAGGAGAATCACTTGTGTGTCTTACCCTATAGTTTAGGAATAAACAAACTAGCAACTGCCAATCCCTATTCCCCTGTACTTTTAACCCATGCTTGGCAGATGTGCAACAAAGAAATTGTGGAGGTCTGCAAATATTTCACCTACTTCTCTGGTTCAACTATCATCTCCCAAGGAGCAAATATTTCCCAAATATTATTTCTTTCTTCTGTGCCAGGAGTTAATTTTATTTCTTAATTGAATTCCAGATAAGCAAAGCACTACACAAAGGCCAGAGATAAAACCAAATGGCAAGTCACAATCTCTTCTGAGTTTTACAATCTAGAAAAGCACTGTCCAACAGAATTGTTCACAAAGATGGAAACAAGCCCTGGCAAGATGGCAAGACCCTGTCTGTACAAAAAGTAAAAAGATTAGCTGGATGTGGTGGTGCATACTTGTGGTCCCAGCTATCTGAGATCAGTTGAGTCTGGGAGTTCAAGGCCGCAGTGAGCTATAATCATATAGCTCAGACAATGGAGCAAGACCCTATCTCAAAAACATGGATGAAAACGTGTCTGTACTGTCTAAATATGGCAACTGAATTTTTAATTAACTTCAATAGTCCTGTGTACGTGACAGCTATTGTATTGGACAGTGCAGACATATACATAAGATTAAAAGTACAAATACTTTTTTTTTTGAGACGGAGTCTCGCTCTGTCACCCAGGCTGGAGTGCAGTGGCCAGATCTCGGCTCACTGCAAGCTCTGCCTCCCAAGTTCACACCATTCTCCTGCCTCAGCCTCCCGAGTGGCTGGGACTGCAGGCGCCTGCCACCATACCCAGCTAATATTTTGTATTTTTAGTAGAGACGGGGTTTCACTGGGTTAGCCAGGATGGTCTCCATCTCCTGACCTCGTGATGCGCCCGCCTCGGCCTCCCAAAGTGTTGGGATTACAGGCGTGAGTCACCGTGCCCGGCCTAAAAGTATGATACAAGGCAACAAGTGTTAAGAGTCACAAGAGAATAAAGTGCTCTGAGGGCTGAGAGGGGAGAGCAAAAATTCTATGGGGGAGGGAAGAAACAGGAAAAACTTGATTAAAGGGCAACATTAGGCCGGCACAGTGGCTCATGCCTGTAATCCCAGTACTTTGGGAGGCCAAGTTGGGAGGATCACTTGAGGTCAGAAGTTGGAGACCAGCCTAGCCAACATGGTGAAACCCCATCTCTACTAAAAATACAACAAAAATCAGCCAGGCATGTTGGCAGGTGCCTGTAATCCCAGCTACACAGGAGGCTGAGGCAGGAGAATCACTTGAACCTGGGAGGCAGAGGTTGCAGTGAGCTGAGATTGTGCCACTGCACTCCAGCCTGGCAACAGAGCAAGACTCCGTCTCAAAAAATAATAATAATTAAAGGGCATCATTTCCAGTAAACAATGGATAGGATCAAATCACCCACAAAAACGAGAAAAAGCAAGATGCATTTTAGGAATATTAGGCAATTGAGTTTGTTTGGAGCTTAGGCTCTATGTAGGGAATCAGTAATAGGTAATTGTGGAGACAGCTTAGGTTACAACCACCAGGTGGAGACCCTTAAATATGGGCTGAGTGGAGATGCCCTCTGGTAGGCAAGGAAGCTCCTGAGCAGCACAGGTAAACAGAATTACCAGAGGACCCCACAATTCCACTCCTAGGGATATACCCAAGAGAAGTGAAAACACATGCTACGCCTACAGTTGGACATGAACATTTATAACAGCATTATTCCTAACAGCCAAAAACTGCAAACCCAAATGAAGTACTGAAGGATGTTAGGAAGCTCTCCTTCCATAATGACCTGACTTATAGCCTAGAATAATAATAAAACTCTACTCGGCTGGTTGCAGTGGCACATCCCCGTAATCTCAGCACTTTGGGAGGCTGACAAGGGTGGATTGCTTGAGGCCAGGCGTTCGAGACCAGCCTGGGCAACATGGTGAAACCCTGTCTCTGCTAAAAACACAAAAATTAGCTGGGTGTGGTGGCGCACACCTGTAATCCCAGCTACTCGGGAGGCTGAGGCATGAGAATGCTTGAACCTGGAAGGTAGAGGCTGCAGTGAGCTGAAATCGCACCACTGCACTCCAGCTGGGGCCACAGAGCAAGACTCCGTCTGAAGGAAAAAAAAAAAAATCAGATGGAACCTTTACATCTAACTTCCAGTTTACAAGAAAGGCAGGAGTAGGAGGAAATATGCTGAATGACACCATGAAGCAATCGGACAAACCCCAAAAGTGGGACATTCTAGAGGACAAATGACCCAGTTTCTTCAATAAGGCAACAGTAGGGGGAAAAAGGGGAGGGAGAGGAGGAAAGCTAGATAGTTCTAGATTAAAATAGACTTAGATATAAAGGCAATAGATGAATTTTGTTTGGACTCTTGATTTAGACTGAAACAACTGTCAGCAGAGTTTAAAGATATCTGGGACACGACTAAATACTGGGTATCAGCTGGTACGAACAATTATGTTTAAGCCTGATAACAGTACTGTGATTATCTATAAATACATAAATTTGTAGAGAAACCATAAAGTACATAAAATTGAAAATGATACATCTATGATTTAAAATATTTCTATAAAAAGAGCAAATACAACAAAATGCTAATAATCTTTATATCAAGATGTCGGATATAAGGTTGTGCACTGTATTGTTGTATTTTCAATTTTGCATAATGCAAAACTAAAGAAAAAACACACCATCACCAATCTACCTGAAATTTTAGTGCCACTAAAATCTTCCTGTAACCACCAACTTTCCAGTCTGACTTGGTGTGGACTAAGAAATCCAAACCCAAGGCTGGATCTAGAGCTTAATCTAGAGCCTACCACCTTTTTTTTTTCTTTGAGACAGAGTTTTCACTTTCGTTTCCCAGGATGGAGTGCAAAGGCGCGATCTTGGCTCACTGCAACCTGACTCCCAGGTTCAAGCGATTCTCCTGCCTCAGCCTCCTGAGTAGCTGGGATTACAGGCATGTGCCATCACACCCAGCTAATTCTGTACTTTTAGTAGAGACAGGGTTTCTCCATGTTGGTCAGGTTGGTCTCGAACTTCCAACCTCAGGCGATCCGCCTGTCTTGGCCTTTCAAAGTGCTGGGAATACAGGCGTGAGCCACCGCACCAGGCCGAGCTTACCACTTTTTTAGCTTCCCATTTGAAATGACTCAACTGTCAGAATTCCTATGGGTGGTTTGACACCTGCATTAGAATAGACAAATGTCAGATTACCTTTAAAAAGATGACAGCAAAAATTCCTAACTTGAAAATCAAATAACAATCAGAAGAAAAGTCTGTCTTTAAAATGAAAGACCTGGCTGGGCATGGTGGCTCACACCTGTTAATCCCAGCACTTTGGGAGGCCAAGGCGGGCAGATCACGAGGTCAGGAGTTCCAGACCAGCCTGGCCAACATGGTGAAACGCCGTCTCTACTAAAAATACAAAAATTAGCCAGCCTGGTGGCGCGTACCTGTAGTCCCACCTACTTGGGAGGCTGAGGCAAGAGAATCACTTGAACCCAGGAGGCAGAGGTTTCAGTGAGCCAAGATCATGCCACTGCACTCCAGCCTGGGCAACAGTGAGGCTCCATCTCAAAAAAAAAAAAAAAAAGAAAGAAAGAAAGAAAGACCCAACACTACACTATTTTTTCCTAGTTTGGAAACATATCATCTCTAAACAAAGTTCCCACACAGAGCACTAAGAATGAAATACTACAATACCAGGCCTTTAAAATTTTATATCAACAAACCTAATTTCAAGAGGTTTAAATTCACTCACAGAAACACCAATATACAAGATACAATACTCAGAAAAATCAACATTGGAAAGTCTCAGTAATGTCTGACATCATCAACAAACGCTTGTAGACGTGGTGGCAAGTGCCTGTAACACCAGTGCTTCGGGAAGCTGAGGCAGGACTGCTTGAGCTCAGAAGTTTGAGATGAGCCTGGGCAATATAGTGAGACTCCCATCTCTATACAAATTTAATATATATTATATATATATATTTTTTGGTTTGTTTGTTTGAGATGGAGTCTCACTCTGTCGCCCAGGCTGGAGTGCAGTGGCACAATCTCGGCTCGCTGCAAGCTCTGCCTCCTGGGTTCACACCATTCTCCTGCCTCAGCCTCCCAAGTGGCTGGGGCTACAGCCACCCGCCACCATGCCCGGCTAATATTTTTGTATTTTTAGTAGAGACGGGGTTTCACCGTGTTAGCCAGGATGTTCTCCATCACCTGACCTCGTGATCTGCTGGCCTCGGCCTCCCAAAGTGCAGGGATTACAGGGGTGAGCCACCATGCCTGGCCAAAAATATATTTTTAAAAAAGAGGATGGATGCGGTGGCTCACATCTGTAATCTCAGCACTTTGGGAGGCCGACGTGGGTGGATCACTTGAGGTCAGGAGTTCGAGACCAGCCTGGCCAACATAGTGAGCTGAGACCCCATCTCTACTAAAAACACAAACATTACATGTGCATGGTGGCATGCACCTGTAATCTCAGCTATTCGGGAGGCTGAGGCAGGAGAATCACTTTAACCTGGGAGGAGAAGGTTGCAGTGAGCCGAGATCACACCACTGCACTCCAGCTTGGGTAACAGAGCAAACCTGTCTCAAAAAAATAAAATAAAATAGAATAAAATAAAAAGAGCATATAGGCCGGGTGCGGAGGCTCCAGCACTTCAGGAGACCAACGTGGGTGGACCACCTGAGGTCCACAGTTCAAGACCAGACTGGGTAACACGGTAAAACCCTGTATCTACTAAAAATACAAAAATTAGCTGGGCGCAGTGGTGTGTGCCTGTAATCCCAACTACTCGGGAGGCTGAGACAGGAGAATCCCTTGAGTCCGGGAGGAGGAGGCTGCAGTGAGCCGAGATCACACCATTGCACTCTGGACCGGGAGACAGAGCTACACTCCATCTCACCAAAAAAAAAAAAAAAAAAAGAAAAGAGAAGTTCTCTACTCTCCCCCAAACTTTACCTTCATTACCAAGGTTTGGGTTTGCATCTGACTGGGAGGAATTCATGTATTTCCACACAGTACAATCAGACAGACTTAATAGACTGGACACAAGGCATGAAAAAAGTATCACTCTATTACACTGGTGTACTGTTCTTTTAAAATTGTGCTTGGCCGGGCGCGGTGGCTCACGCCTGTAATCCCACCACTTTGGGAGGCCAAGGCGGGCAAATCATGAGGTCAGGATATCGAGACCATCCTGCCTAACACGGTGAAACCCTGTCTCCACTAAAAAAAAATACAAAAAAATTAGCCGGGTGTGGTGGCGGGCGCCTGTAGTCCCAGCTACTTAGGAGGCTGAGGCAAGAGAACGGCGTGAATCTGGGAGGCAGAGCTTGCAGTGAGAGGAGATCCCACCACTGTACTCCAGCCTGAGCGACAGAGGGTGACTCGTCTTAAAAAAAAAAAAAAAAAAAAAAATCGTGCTCAATTAATGCAGGAAAAAAACTGTCTAAGTAAGACAACTTTGGTATAATTTCCCTTTAAACTACGGAACCTATTAAAAAATAATTTTAAAATGCACTGTAGATTTTTTTCAATTCTAATCCTCTACTTCTATGGCATTACACTGCTCTCATTTCCTAACAAATATATTAAGATCTGATAAGACGACCTGGGCTGCTTACTCCCGCCTTCTAGGTTCCAGGCAATTAACTTACACACACAGCCTAATCCTTTCACTCTTCTGACTCTGTAGGAGTCAGAAGAGAACTACCTGCTTGGGCATTTCTAGTGAATGCTGCATAGAGAATATCCAGGAAAACCCAAAGAAAGCAGGCTCCAACTCTTAAAAGTCTATAGGCCGCCTTCTACCAGACCTTAACTTTCATTTAATCAAAATCACAACTAATTTTAACTCACTTTAAAGCTTTCTTGTATTCAGAAACATTCCAAAATGTTACATGAGTAACATATGCCAACACTCCACCAAAGTAAGCCGGCTTTGTAAAGACAAAGAGAAGCAAGATTTTCACAATTTCTGCAACACTAGCTTCAAAATTAGAATAGCCTTACACTGTTCAAATCTTGGCTGTCAAAGCAAAAATAACCCACTCCTTCTTTATCTACAAAAGCTTAAAAATGTGTTCCTGTTATTGCCAAAACCAAAAAGTTTTATTTAATCTAGAATCTTTCATCCACAGTATTTGAGAAAAGTGATCTCAAATTACACAAGGATGACCTGAAAGTTTAAGGAGTGGAAACTACATAAACCTTTTTACTTGTAAAACTTCCTGGCATGCGAAAACACTGCAAAATATTCTTATGTTTTATTTTAATGACTAAACATTAACTCAAACAGCCCATGAGATGCACACTTCATGTTCACATACACTATAAAACAGAAATACCCTTATTTGTGGACGTCGTAAAGGCGCACTGCACTCTTTTTTCAAAGTTAACCCAGGATGGGCCACGAAACGTCCTTTCTGAAGGAAATCTTAAAAGCCTGTAATTTAAATCGTGCCTTTTCAAGCTGGAAAGAGAACGCTCAGATGCCGCCAAGCAAAAAAAAAAAAAAAAAAAAAATTATCTTTACTTCGTGGGTAGACAAAGTGAGTAGTTACACGTAGGAAATGACTATTGTCACAGCGCTCTGCCCCCGTGTTTCACGCTCGCATTCCTGACGGCTGTGACCCCGACCTTTAGGAGAACGCCCCGCGCCGCGAAGCCACCTCGGCGGCAGGCCCGCGCCGCCAG